TTTTTTTTTTTTTTGGGGGGGGGGGGATTAGTAATGTGATAAGTGGTTATTAAATGGTGGGATTTGTGCTGATCCAAACAAAAAAAATAGTGGGATTTGTGGGCCTATATAGTCATAGGTAATTAGTAAATTTTAAGTAAATAGTTTCTTCCGGGCATTTTCAATTTTTACTCAAATTTAGACTCATATTTAAATTAAAGTAAAAAAGTTTTAAAAACTTGTTTTAACCCTTGATTCAAACTTATACTAAATTAAGAAAAACTCGTTTTTTAACTCAAATCAAGGGAAACTCAAATATTTACTCAAATCTTTAATGGTGAGATTTTAACATCTTTTAAAGATCTAATGGTCATCCTTACTTTCTTTTAAATTTAGATTTGTTTTCATTTAAAATTGGGTCTATCTTTATTTAAATTTGAGTTTGTTTATTAGAGTCTTTTATATCAAATTAAATTTTTTACTCAAATATTAATTTAAGTTTAAATAAAATTTTGAGTCATAATTATTAGCAACGGAATAGTGAATATACCATATTCATTGTGACCTGTGAGATTCCTAGAACCACTTGAGGCTCTATGGCAGACTTGAATAACATGTGATGGATACATTGTCACCACATTACAAAAGTGAGTGTGATTGCGTTGTCGTGCATATAGTGACTATGACGTATTGCATTCATAAGCATAAATTGAACTGTTTAAAAATTTTAGCATTATCGCGGGAAGAATTGCTCACTTATAGTTCTATTTGGGGACTAAGTGAAGTGTTCATGTTTCAACCATACCGAGTTATTCTATTTATTGGTAATTATTGGTTATGATTCTAGAAATTTCAGCAAGGCCAGTTGCATAAAAAGTACAAAAATATATTAATACCAATGTTATGTGTTGGGTATATGTTAAAGTTATATTCATGTCAGACCCTTTCATCCAACCCAGAAGGGCTGTTATTGCAATACTTTTGCCTGATCCAAATTCAGAGAAGTAGAACTTATATCAAGAGCCCAAATCAGCAACTCATGTAACCAGTGACTCAAGAAATTAGATAGACATTAATGAAGAAGCCAGCTAGAAATATTTTTTTTCATACATTCACTCTCCCAAAGTGTCAAGAGCAAGTCACATATTTCACCAGCATGTAGATTTTGACATTAAGTTTTCCAAAAAGTTAATTATATTCCTCATGTAATCGGTGGCCAACAATCGGGGTTCCAATATATAGAATAACTCGTATGGTTGAAACATAAACACATCACTTAGTCTCCAATAGAATTATAAATTTCGAGAATTTCACTCATAGGATAACATAGTACCCACAGTAGTACTCTCATTGAATCAAGAATACACTAAGTTCTAGCACTTGAAGAAGAAGTAACTCAACAATCAAATCAAATACTCTCTCATTGAATTCATCAACGACAACGAAAAGAGGAAGCATAATTAAATAAAATTCTAACAAACGCCCTACCTCGACTACAAGTGCATTTTCTTTTGTTTGGAAGAGTGATCGGAGCTTCTTGAAGAAAGACACGAAGAGAAAATTATGGGATGGCTACTTTCGCAACTAAATTTTGATCTTGAGACAAACTTGTGAATAAAACATTAGAATGATAAAGATCACATCTGACAGAACAAAAAACAATTAGAGTGTATGAGAATTAAAATCAAACAAAAAACCATGCAAACCCAAATGGAAGTAAAACAAATTTGCATATCAAAGATAAATCTAGCATGTGACAAAGTCCTAGTCCTTTATATAATAAGGTTTCTATTACCTTTTTCTACAAGTGAGTGTGTTTTTCCTATTTTAATTGTTTGATTTTCTCTTTCTAGGCTAGTATGTAATAGCATTGGTGTTAAATTGATTTGACAAAACAAAGGAAAAGACAATAATATAAGTGCTCATGATATGTTTATTAAGCCTATATACACAGTTTTATATCACAATACCGCTGAATTCCCTCAAATAAAGTTATCATTACCTCTTTTTGTACCTTTCTAATTCTTCAACTTTCTATTATAGGCTAACGTGTAAAAACCTAATAAGCTGACTACTTTTGAAAACAGGAATAGAATAAAAAAACAATTTTGCCAGTGAAAAATTAACCAAAAAATTCTAAATCATAACACCAATCTTTTTAACTATATGTAAATCTATTTCTTGGCTAAGTTGCATTTGCATTGCTGCTTTTTGTATTTGTGCATCTTTTTCGATATACAGTTTCTTAATGTTCCATTATAGGATTAACTGTGAAAGCCCAATTTTTTTTCAATATTTGCATATTAATTTATTTATGAATAGAGGGAAAGAGAAATTGTATATGAATAATAAAGTAAGCACATTTACAAGATTCTTTATAGCAATAGCAATGAATTACCATTTAAAAGACTCATGCCTACACTCTGATTCGGAAGTAACACCTTCCTTTGATGTGAAATCAAACTTAACGCCTTCGGTGCCATTGGCACGATGTCTATCCAAAACCATTCCCTTTTTTGGATATGAATAAATAAAAATAGAATAATCAAACAAGACAAAACATCTTGTAAACTTAAATGAAACAACAAAATATAATTGAAAAATATAATGCAAAAAGAATAATCAAACAAGACAAAAGATCTTGTAAACTTAAATGAAACGAAAAAATCTAATTGAAAAATATAATGCATTGCCATATGTAATGAAGCAAACAACTAATTAACTACTATGGCAATGACCGGCGTTGAAAGCAATCACCATGAATGCACCTTCCTAAGCATCGATAACCAGTCCAACCTCAACACCCATATGTAATGAAGCATCAAGCTACAAAAAACACTTACCCAAAACTATGGTAAGTGTATAAAAATAAAATGATCAATTATAACTAAAGAGAATGGGCAATTTTGAGGGTAGAACGACACAATCTCGNAACTTACCCAAAAATATGGTAAGTGTATAAAAATAAAATGATCAATTATAACTAAAGAGAATGAGCAATTTTGAGGGTAGAACGACACAATCTCGATCATATATAATATTGCCATAGAAGATGATACTAACTTTATGTCAAAGTAGTACAATTTATCTTCAATGCTAAAACCAGATTTTGGGTCAATTTTCTTTCGGAATTAAGGTTCCTAGGGGATTTAAGGTAACCTTGTTAAAACCTTTGAATCC